ACTCTGCATCTAGAAATTGTGTAGAATGGAAGCCCAACTCAAAATGGCTTAGGGAAAGCAGGAATGAACAAAGTCTGGGGAATCTGGGTTCAGGTGTACCTGGATCCAGGGATCAAATGACATCATCAGGCTCTTTCATCTCCCCCCATCCCGCCCCCCACTTGCCATTTCTTTTCCCATCTCTGCTTCCTTTGTAGCGGTTTCATTCTTAAGTTCCAGGTAGTGGCCTCTGGCAGCTCTAGGCTTAGCTCTTTCTTACTGTCATCAATCTCAACAGAAAGAGAGTTTTCTATCACTTTGGCTCCAACAAAGATCCCAGAATTAGTATCATTGGAGAGGCGCGGATTACATATCCATTCTTGAGCCAATCACTATGTCTGCAGGTTTGGAAAATGACAATTGGCCAGACTCATCCGAGATGGATGTGATGGCCAGCTTCTGAATTGGCCCTCAGCAACTTTGTCTTCCGATATTCATGCCCTTATATGGTCCCCTCCTACACTAAACCAAGGCTGGCCTATGTGACCAATAGAAATACAGCTGAAGTGATACCATGTGACTTCCCAGGCTGGGTCATACAGGTGTTGCTGCTGCTGCTTCTTTTTCTTTTTAAGATTTTATTTATTTATTTATTTATTTATTTATCTGAAAGAGAGAGAGAACGCGCATGCAAGTTGGAGAGGAGCAGAAGAAGAGGGAGAGAGAAAGTCTCAAAAAAAACCTCCCCACTGAGTGTGGAGCTTGACGCAGGTTCTGGCTTGAACCCAGAACCCTGAGATCATGACCTGGGCCGAAATCAAGAGTCAGACACTTAACTGACTGTACCACCCAGGTGCCCCAAGGAGAGAGAGAATCTTAAGCAGCCACCATGCCCAGCGTGAGCCTGACACAGGGCTAGATCTCACAACCTTGAGATCATGACCTGAGCCAAAATCAAGAGTTGAATGCTTAACCAACTGAGCCACCCAGGTACCCCTGTATTTTATTCTTTTTGATGTTATTGTAAAAAGAATTGTTTTCTCAATTTCCTTGGGGCTCAAACTCACAACCCTGAGACCAAGTCACGTGCTCTTCTGACCTAGCCAGCCAGGTACCCCATGATTATTATTGTCTTAAGTCACAGAGTTTTGGGGTGATTTGTTGCACAGTAAGACATAACAGGCACAATTTCTTATCCCTCAACCCTGGGTAAGGAATCAGTTCTACTCCATGTGGACTGAAATGGAAGGAATGATTCCCTGAGGAGTAATCAAGTTGCTGTTAATGGGAAGGTGAACAGAGGAAATGAACATTGGGTGGGCCACACAACAGCTAACCCAACTATGGGTTCTCCACAGACACATGCTTGCTGGAAGAGTGAAGCATTAAGATGATACTAATTCATTTTAGGTGGCTCTGAGCACCTGGGTCAGGGGGATTCAGGCCTGGATATGCCTATGCCAATTTTCCAGCTCCAACTACTAACAGTTTTTCTTCCAAGTTATCCCAAGACTTGATTGGTTATGGGCAACACAGGTGATTTGCCTTCATTGTCAACCCAAATATTTGCTCTTAAAGTAAGGTACCTGTTTTTTTTTTTTTTCTTTAAGATTTCATTTATTTATTTGACAGAGAGAGAGACATTGAGAGAGGGAGTACAAGCAGGGGGCAGGGGGAAGGGAGAAGCAGGCTTTCCACAGAGCAGAGAGCCAAGGGAAGGCTCCATCCCAGGACGCCAGGATCACTGCTGGATTGCAACAGGAGCCAAAGGCAGACGCCCAAGACTGAGCCACCCAGGCACCCTGTTGTTTTTCTTTTAATCTAAAGAATCGAAGCCCCCAAAATTCCTCCGTATTGTGACTAATGTATGGCTTAAGGCTTCTTCTGTTAAAATGGCTTTCTAGTTTAATTTCAATTGGACATATGTAGGTTTAGACAAAGATATCGCCTTTGAAAGTTCACATTCCTTATTAATCTCTTTTGGCAAAGAAGAGAAAACAGAGATAAAAGAAATATAAGGTTTAACACTCCAACTGATAAGGATTCTCCTTCCTTCCTTCCTCTCCTATAAATTTCTTGAGCACCTATCCTGTGCCCGGAATTGTCTGTATTGTCTCATTAAACTTCTTGATGATGATGAAGTAGGTATTAATGACCCCTTTTAACAACTGAAGAAACAGATGCATTTGGAGAAGTTAGTTGTCTTATTGGCTGATTCGTCCTTTTACCGGTCTGTTATTTACCTTGTTGATGTTAATACCCATAAGGAAAGATGAAACCCACCCATACATTTTTGCCAGAAGTCTTATTTTAAGTTTTCTCTGCACCACAGACTGCAATTCATGATTTCCTTCCAACCAATCACCAAGATACAGATTATATTTCCTGTGTGCCCAATGTGCGTGGTGCCAGAGGGAAAAAAAAACATGGTGTTTCTGGCAACTTTTTCTGCCCCTTCTGTTACCAGACCGAAGTGGGTCTACTCCTTGGCGAGTTATAAGTCAGAGACTACACCAGAAGGAGTTGTCATACATGTCATCTGTATTTGTACAAATAAGGAGATTATAGGGAACAACCTCCAAAACTGTGACTCTCCAAACAAGGGAAAGTAGGGTCCTTTGATTAGGGCTTGGGATGAATACTCAGAAGGGGATTTCAACATTACAAGGAGGTTGAGGTCACTCTGTTTGTCCCTCACACTGTTGGTCACTTCTGGCACTTTCTGATTCATCACTGCAGGCACCTTCCTCAAATGTTTCTTTTTCTGTTCTGGCAGTTTGTTAGTTTGTTTCTAAAAAGTAAGGTAGTCAGACAGAAGAAGCTAGGAGTTGAGCTCCTAAAAGGTAAGATGGACAGTGACACAGGACCTTCTACTAGAAATTTCCTGAGTTCCTAGGTCAGGCTGGTGACATTTCCGTGTTAGTAGATGGTCAGCCTTGTTTGAAAAATGACAGCAATTAAGGGACACACCCACTCTTTGGACTCAGTCTGCAGCATTTGGTCACAGAATTCTTCCTGGACCTGAGACCCCCAAACTGTTTCACATAACTTGGGCAAGTCCTTGGTACAGAGCTTATGAGGGCAAGCTCTGGAGCTAGACAAAGCTGGGTTCAAATCCCCAGTCCATCAATTTACAAGCTTTGTGACCCTGTTTTAATCTCTAAACCCCTCTATAAAATGGTACAATAGTTTTTATCACTTACAATTCTTTTTTTTTAAGATTTTATTTTTAAGTAATCTTTATACCCAACATGGGCCTCAAACTTACAACCCCAAGATCAAGAGTCACGTGCTCTACCAACTGAGCCAGCCAGGCATCACTTGTAATTCTCTCTCTCTCTCACTCTCTTTTTTTTTTTTTTTTAAGATTTTATGTATTTATTTGATAGATAGAGAGAGCACAAACAAGGGGAGCAGCAGGCAAGGGGAGAGGGAGAAGCAGGCTCTCCACTGGGCAAGGAGCTGGAATGTGGGGCTTGATCCCAGGACCCTGGGATCATGACCTGAGCAGAAGGCAGATGCTTAATCAACTGAGTCACCCAGGTACCCTTCTGGGTTTCTTTTCTTTCTTTCTTTTTTTTCTTTTTTTTTTTCTTTTTTTAGATTATTTATTTATTTATTTGACAGACAGAGATTACAAGTAGGCAGAGAGGCAGGCAGAGAGAGGAAGAAGCAGGCTCCCTGCTGAGCAGAGAGCCCGATGCGGGGCTCGATTCCAGGACCCTGGGATCATGACCTGAGCCGAAAGCGGAGGCTTTAACCCACTGAGCCACCCAGGCGCCCTTTCTTTTTTTTTTTTTAAGATTTTATTTATTTATTTGAGAGAGGGAGAGAGAGAGAGAGACAGTGCATGTGCACATGTGCAACACACACACACATGAGTGGGGGGAGAGGCAGAGGGAGAGGGAGAAGCAGACTCTCCACTGAACATAATCCCAGGACCCTGAGATTATGACCTGACCAGAAGGCAGATGCTTAACCAACTGAGCCACTCCAGTACCCTGGCAGTGGTGGTTTTTGAATCCTTACTGTGTGCTAGGCACAGAGAGAAAGCCAGGGTTGTGTATTTTTAACTAGCTTTCTGCAATGATTTCGATGCACAGCAGGACTTGGGAATACCAACCTTATACAACCTAAGACATTCTGTGGAAAATTTGCATTTTGCTTTTAAGATAGCTATACCACATGGGGGCTCAGCCTCCACAGCTGAGCCCGGAGCCTGCTTCTCCTTCTACGTGCTGCGCCCCCTACTTGTGCTCTCTTTTTCTGTGTCTGTCAAATGAATAAAATCTTAAAAAAAAAAAAAAAAAATAGCTATAGCACAGCCTTCTTGATTTAAAACAAAAAACAACAAAAAACCCCAAAACCAAAACAAAACCTATTTGTACTGCATACACACACAAATGTGCACAACTCATAGTTGTACAATTTGATGACTTTTCCAAGTTGAACACATCTATGTAGCTACCCAAAGATGAAGACATGCAATGTCCCAGTCTCACTTGTGGCCCCTTCCAGTCACCAGCCCCAGAGGTAATCACCATTCTAATCCCATAACCGCTCACTAGTCTTGCGGGTTCTAGAATTTCCTGCAAACAAAATTGCAATCTGTACTACTTTCCTTTCTTTTGCTCAACATCATGTTCATGCTTCTGACTTATTAAAACTACTCTTTTGGATGAAATGTGAAAAACGATGATTGAGAAGGTTAGGAAGGAAATGAAAGTCTGAGATCCTGAGAGACCAGGTACAATACTTGGATTTTCCAAGAGGTGGAATCTCTTGGAAGATAGGATGGGGAAGGGGGCGTGGTTACCGTCCAGCCTGTTCCCCGTGCGGGCTAAGTCTTTAGGCTGGGGGCGTGGCCAAGGGCCCGGCTTCCCGGCGGCTGTTAGCACCGGGGGCGGGGCCGGTCGGGGCTTCCTGTCTGCGCCTGCGGAATCGCCGTTTGACCCCGGAAGTGCCAGCGCACTGGGAGCTGTCACCGTGGACCGCGGCAGCGGCGGCGGCGGTGGCGGTGGCGGTGGCGGTGGCGGCGGCACAGCGCCGGTAGTGGAGCCGCCGAGGTGAGTGTGCGGCTGGGCCCTGCCGAATAGGTGGCATCGGGCCTGGGACGAGCCGTGGCCATGCCCCCGGCGGCCACGGTCCTCCTCGCCTGCTTGGCGGGGCCGAGACTGATGATGCCGGAGGAGTTGTTAGTCGCACCTGAGGCCAGGCCGCTAGAGCCGGAGTCTCGGGTTCGAGGTTCAACCCCAGAGTGACCTTGGACGAGTCACAATCCTCCTACCGGCACTCCGGGTTTCAGTTTCCTTGGTGTTCATTCATTCGTTAGGGACGAGCCGTGGCCATGCCCCCGGCGGCCACGGTCCTCCTCGCCTGCTTGGCGGGGCCGAGACTGATGATGCCGGAGGAGTTGTTAGTCGCACCTGAGGCCAGGCCGCTAGAGCCGGAGTCTCGGGTTCGAGGTTCAACCCCAGAGTGACCTTGGACGAGTCACAATCCTCCTACCGGCACTCCGGGTTTCAGTTTCCTTGGTGTTCATTCATTCGTTA